AGGTGCAAACCCTTGAAAAGTGTCAAGTCTGCTGCAATCGATGTAATCCACGATGAAATGATTGACGCTACAAGCGAACATGTAACGTTGTGGTTAACACATGTCTGTCAAACTGAAATGGCTACGGTTAATACTTAAGACTCTGGTGGATTGGAAAACGGGGTTTGAAGTAAACCTGTTTAAAAAGGAAGTCCTCGAACTGTCGAGGAATTACCTTATTAAGGCTCTTTGGGAAGGTCTACACAGCGGTATTAGAAAGGAGCAGAATAACTGCTTCTGAGATAGAAGAAGAGCAGTGTGGCTTCAGGCCCAGCTGAAGCACATCTGAGTGGTTATTTACCTTTCGCCAGATTGTTGAGAAGTCGTGAGACTTCGCCCATCCGGAGTATATGTGCTTTGTAGATCTAGAAATTGCCTATACCCAGATGTAATGCAACAGTCTGTTGGCATACCTGTGAACATATGGGATCGGTGGCCAGATGGTACAGGTGCAGTGTCAAAGAAAATGGCGTTAAGTCTCGACCTTTCAGCATTTGCTGCACGGGTCTCCTTCAAGTCTGGGTTCACTCCCTTTTCTCGTTTGCGTATGAGATGCTCACTGACTGCAGGCGACTTTGCTTTGGTATCATCTTCTGAAATCGATCTCTACCGTTCTGTGGAAAGGTTCACAGCGGACTGCTCTGTGTCGGGCATCAATGTGATTGTGTTCAGAGCGAAAGGCTTAGTGCTTAGTCATTGTCTTGTCCGCTGCGCTCTGCGGATAAACTGAGGAACAGCGGATTAGTTGGAAGAATTCCCTTACCTCTGGGTCATGTTTACTGGTAATGATAAATGAGAGGAAGTGTTCGATCAGGTTCGATCAAATTGCCATCGGTGTCCTGCGTTAACTAGCCCAAACCATTGTGACTCAACAGTGCTGAGTCTGTAGAACATGTTCTCTGTTTATGCTGATTTTTCTCTCAGTGCTGGCTTACGGTTACGATTCGTTGGCCCAAGGATCAAGTGGGTAAAATTGGCATTTTAAAACTAATCACCGCATGGTTTGGGGTACAGATATGCGAACAAGCCTTGATGTACATCCGCAGTTTCTCTAGATTGGGAAGTCACAGCTGCAGTGGGATGTATTAGGAATGCTTTCGGAAAGGAAGGTTAAATAGCGTAGTTTCCCAAACGACCCGCCGAAGGCGTGACTGCTGCCAAGAAGAACATTGTTCAAGTATATCGAGGGGCCCTGCTCTGAGTTCGGGTTATTTCCTGCAATGCTCAAACATCGGTGCATGGTAATAAGTTTCACTGACTGCTGCTGTGACTCGAAACGATAAACGGTCTTCGAAGACGAGTGACTCACTGACTAGAGAGGGTAAACCTCTAAAAGAGTTATCGCGGCGTTTGCTCGCGAGGACAACTTGTAGAGACCAAAGTAATAGCTGGCAAATGAACTCGATTTACTGCAGAGTTTATTCGTGCTAGTCAATTTGGGATCACGGAACACCGGTTATGAAGTGTGTAACTATGGGTTAGAGGGACCATTGCAACTAGGTAATGAAACATTTGTGCGTCGGGGGGAATCCATACGACTACGGGATATTCTAATCAAAGCTTGAGCGAAAAAATACGTTCCACTTTGCATAGTGAACTTGGAATAGTCTATTATTACGTCTTTCACCCTTTCAGTTGATGATTATAGCTCATTTGCATTCGAAATAGTACTAGTATAATATTAGTCCTGATATCCTGGTACTATTGGCATTTATACCATAAAGTTTATATAGTAAATGCACAAATACGTTAAAAACAAAACTTTAACAGCAGAAGCCAGATTAAAATAGGCTCAGATGTCCGAAATGTTGCGTAACTCGTACACAAATTAGCATTGCTTTCCTTAATGGCAGGGACGCTTCACTTGCCGGTTTTTCTCATCACGAGCCACATGCCATTCGCGATGTCATTTGAACGCTCATAGGAATAGATTAGGTCCTTGCCGAAGATTCGATGAGGGCAGTTTTGTCTCTGTGAAAAGTCCCATTTTGCAACCGGTGTTCCTTGACAAAATTTGCTTCTTGCAGTACTGCGTTTCAAGCCCAAGTTATTGTCAACTTCTGAAGTGATAATTTTTTTTAATAACAATTTTAGCTTCTACCCAGTGCTGAATGACATCATTCTTTATATCGTCTTAAAATTTGTCTTTTGACGCGTGGAAGGCAGTGGTAGTTACTGTAGTTGAAACACTGGATTGTCGCGGATAGACACGGATTCAGCCGGTTGACATGATTCGTTGTTTAAATATTGCCTCCCCTTGGTATTTGCCTCACTGGGTCGATAGACTTGACGCACCACGCGAACAACACGCACCGTTCCCTGAAGCGTTTCCTGAAGCTGAATTTAAAACAACCTAAAATTTGATTATACCAAGCACTCTGATGAAAATAAGTGAAACATTCTATCTGCTCACCATTCAAATTTTGGCATCGGTTGTTCACTTACTTTCACATGGCGTTTGCAAAGTTAGTCGCATTAGTGGTGGGCACCCCGTAAAGTAAAGGGAGAGACATCGAGAAGATGGCGAAGATTTCTTTTCATCCGTCGACGATTATGTGCTTTGCAGTAAATATAATTGAATTCACTGATTGTCAGTGAAACTGGCGCAGTGAAACGGTGTACAGGAAAGCAGTAGAAAAAATCTGCACCGAGATGCGATGAAAATGAGTGATGCCTGGACAGTCCGATGATTCTGAAGTAAGCGTAAGTACACCTGGCCCATTTTTTCCATTTTTATAGACAAGCAAGCTAGAGCATGCTTCAGGTCCATCGATATTCCCAATAATTACCATATCGTTTTCCTACTGGCATGCTATTCTTTTAATTATGATGTTACATTCGCACATTTCTACATGCTTTAGCTAATTAAATAGACCGTTCGTTTATTTGTTTGCCTCTCGATCTGGCTCCTGAATACTATTAGTTCTCAGTTACCATATGAAGTTATCCTTCAGCGAAAGATTAGCAGTTCATCGAAACTATGTTATGGATGCGAAGAAAAAGTTATGTTAGAAGATGGTGGAAATATTAAAAATTAAAATATTAAATATTTTAAAACAAATCTTAAAAACGTCGTTTGATTTCGCATTTCCATCGACAAACATGCTGAAAGCATGCAGTTGTTTTTGCCCATTTTCGATCAATTCAACGTGTTTGCTTCTGGCTTGCAAAGCTACTTCCCCTCTAGCCAGCGGCAGACTTCTCAATGGCGGTTAAAATGCGAACTATTTGAAATGGGTGCTCGTATGGCAAAACCACTGCAGTTGGTGTTTGAACAACAAGGCTAGCTGTACAAATTCCCTGACTCAGACGGAGTATTTATTCTGTTCTGCCGGTATACACGGTAATGAGGGACGTTGCCAATGGACTCTTTATAATAATGCTTTGTCTGATGTCCATGTCAGAGACCTCCGCTAAGATTACGTTTTACTTCAGTCACTAACCCTCTATCACTCACTGGGAAACACTGGGGATCTGCTGTTAATGCAGCGTGTTTCAGCTAAACGAAAACGCTAGTCAGTAGTTATTGTAGTCGATGGATCCCGCGTTTGAGATAAGATTGGTGTAAAAACTGACACGACGTTTGTGCGCTGTTGTTGAGTTGGTCTGAAAACAGTTCTTGTTTGAGGGCAGGAAGCGAGTGGGTGGAAAATACACTCAATTTATAACAACCAATGTCAGATATGCCAAAGGAGTGCAGATGGCGCACCCTGGAATCAAGCAACTTTGAAAGTTAGATCACTGTGACGTCAATAACTGTCATGGAGGAGAGCAGCTGAAGGATATGCCAGCTTTTTATCACTGCGCTGAAAGGCGGAGGTGCGAGATGCACCTGATCATACACGCACAAAATGTTCGTGGCTTGGAATTATGACTTTCGCGAACCTAATATCACTCTCACATCATCTGATGCCTAAGCATCACCTGTTGGAATCACGTGACGAAACGACAGAAAGTGACAGAAAGCAGGGAAATAAAAACTGAGTTTCGCTGAGCGCACAATCCGTCTGGACTCTTAAAATCCGTCTGCATGTGCTGAAACAGCACAGCGTTAAACGTTATGCGCGGTCTGTACAGAACGTGATGCAACACTGGTAGATAATTGGCCGATCATCCGTTTCCCACATGGCCATGGGAAAGGAGGAAATGTAGCCAGCATCATGTTATCCAGGCCCTTCTCTCACAACGCTCATGTGCACGTGCACGTGCACGAAGATCCGCAACTTTCACAGCAGATGGTAAAGGCGCTTTCGATAACATCAACATCGGCATCAGCATCGGTTTCCTCCCCTCCACCGCTTCCTTGTACTATAGGCACGTCAGTGCGGGCGGCGAACGAGTCATGGCAGGGTGTGAGTAACCGGGTGTGAAGCGGCCTCGGGCCATTCGGCATCGTTCGCTGCGCACGTGACTAACGAGGTGCCCCTGTGAACCCAACAGATGGTTGTGTTGTGATGCTTGTGTTTTCGATGTCACTGTTGTTTTCCCATTGTTTTCTGTGCTTCCCTCGACGCCAAAGGTCTGTCGATTATCGGCCAGGAGGGTGTTCCATGACTGCCGCCGAAGACAGCAGGCCGATCACCACGGCTTCTCGCCGGAAAGAGGCACGTGACCACCAAATGTCCCCTCCGTTGGCAGATGGTTGTGTTGCGCGGTACTTTCGAGGTTTCCTCGGCTTCGTGATCGTTCCGTGGTCGTCATCGGAAGCCATTTCGCGTTCGGTTCGTTTTCCGCTCCACTGGCCGTCCATTTGCAGAGGCGATTTGTCAAGCGTGAATGGAACGTATGGATATTAAGATAAGAATTTGAAATGTTTTGATTTTCTCGTGTCGATCCTCGGCCTCTGCGGCGCACAATTACACGCCACCATCGTCCAACGACGACTGTCCCCCTAGGCCTCAATTAAATTTACTCATCCCTTCGACCGTCCGTCCGTCACTCACTGGACGCAACAACGGACGACTAGTGGACGGACGCACAGTCGTCGCATCGCAATCGCCACCGATCGACGTCAAGCTACGGCTACGCGGATCTTGTCTTCTTATCCTTGGTGATTTGGCAATCGAACTCGGTCATCGTTTGGTCATTCGGTCGACTTTAGTCTCGCTCGGTTGCTCTGGGATGGTGACGAAGTAGTTCCGACAGCTTATCGATGCCTATGAGACACCACCATGCCAGGTACTTCTCGAGTCTGCGTCTGCGGTTCGCCGTTGCTGGCGAAACTCCTCTTCGTTCGGCCTGTACAGTTTCACACTTGAGCTATAGCCATCGACTTAGATAACAGGAGGTACGGTACCAACAGTTTTTCTGACTTACAAATGTCGGAGGTGTTTTGCCGAAAACTCATTACCACGCGTTTCTTCCGTACCTTCGGCTGTTACGTTCTGTTTAACG